ATTGGGAAATGCATGGAAAAGACATTGAATGATAAAGCGGGGAGATTGATGTCTCTGTATTGACTGACATGCATGGCATTCCCTTTTGAAAAAGCAATGGAAGTCAATGTAAAGTTATATGTAATCCAATGTAATATAAAGAAGATTATGATAAAAAAAAAACTTTTCCATCAACTCAGAAAAACACCCCATACTCATTAAGTAATCACTATTCTCTTTCCCCTACCCCTGTTAACCTCTAATCTGCTTTCTCTCCTTATAAATTGGCCTATTCTAGATATATCATATAATAGGGATCATACAACATGTAATATTTTGTGTTTGGCTTAGTTTACTTAGCATAATGTTTCAGTTCATTCAAGTTGTAATGTATATTAGTATTTTGTCCCTTCTTATGGCTGAATATTCTGGTGTGTGCGGATAAAACCCTTAAAAATTTAAGTAAAATGCATTATGCCAACTCCTGGTCCCCTGGTGTGAGTTTTTGTTTGTTTGTTTGTTTTATATATTTATTTATTTATTTATTTATGCATTCATTTATTTCTTAATTTGACCAGAGAGAGATAGAGGGTGAGAGTGAGAGAGAAAGGAACTGGGAAAGCAAGCCACCAGATTCAGGACCCGAACCCTGGTCGACCATGTGGGAGTGTCCAGTGCCTTAACCACCACACCACCCGCTAGTCCCCCTGGTGTGAGTTTTAAGCTGCCGGGTCCAGGACTTGAACCGCAGTCACTATGTTGGACTCTTACGACATAACCATTACACCATCTGCTGGTCCCTCTTTCTTTTTGGTGACTTGGAGATTCTCTCTTCTGCATGGTGTAAACTGTTCTTGATAATTCATAGATTTTTTTTAATTTCCTGTATTGTATCCTTCATCTTAGAAGGTCTGTTTGATTCTTTTTGAAAATGTCTCTCTTTATAGAATTTCTCATTTATGTTATGGAATTATTTCTCATATCCTGTAACTGTCTGTTTTATCATGCCTCTCATTTAATTTTATTATCAGTTTTCTGGAACTTCATTTCCACCATTCTATGATTCTCTATATCTTATCCATTGTAAGTGAGGAATTACATTCCTTTAAGGGAGAGATATTTCCTTGGTTTGTTCTCGTTTTTCAGAGTTCTTGTATCCCTGCACTGATTTACAGTCATGAGGTGGAGTTTTCCCTTTTTCCTGATATATAGAGTAGATTCTGTAATGCCTGGGGGCAGAGCAGCCCTCAGCCCCAAATGCAACCCTGATAAGGTGATCCAGGAAGGGCCTGGGACTTCCTTTGCCTTTTGGATCCATGAAGGGCTTGCGTTAGCTACCTGTAATTCCCAGAGGTGGGGCAGCCCTTGGGACCCAAATGCAGCCCTGGCGAGTTTGTACAGGAGGTTCCAGAGATAAGCTTATCTGTGAGTCTCAAGAAGTGGTTCCTGTATGACCAGTAGAAATTCTGGAGGAATGCCTTGGGGCAAGGCAGCCCTACATACCCAAATGTGGTTCTGGAGAGGTGATCTGGGAGAGGCAGGAGGTGAGCTTTGTTAATGTACATGTATCTACCCTTTGGAGCCTGCTGAATCTACCTATAATTTCTGGGTGCAAATTGGCCTTAGGAACCCAAAGGCATCCCTGGCAAGATAGTCCAGGTGGGGCCAGATGCCAGTTGTGCCTTCCATGTCCAAGTAGGGCTTGTGTAACCTGCCTGCAATTTCTCCAGGTAGGGCAGCGCTCTGGTACTAGATGCAGACCTGGTGAAGTGGTCTCAAAGGGGCCAGTGCAAATTTATCTATGAGACCCATGAAGCATGTCTTAAATGCCTGCGGGCAAGGCAATCTTCAGGGATTGAATGTAGCCCTGGGAAGGCAATCTGGGAGCCTTTTGTCAAGCTACTTCTATCTGCCCCATGGATCTTGCTGAGCTATGTTGGAGACAGAAACCAGCTCAGGTCTAAGAGATAGCCAGAAGGGAAGAATGCAGGAGGGAGTTGAAAGCAACTCCATTCTGGGACCAGGGACTGTGTGGTCAACAGGATGGAGCTCCAGGCATGGGCTGTGTCTCAAGATGTTGGATGACATTCTGCAAGCCAATACTAAGTTAATGATAGCTATTGACCTTGAATGAGGAATATAACTGACAAAGAATGGCATGTGTATTATACATTATTCTTTATAGCTAAACTTACCCACTGCTTATCTGATTTAATTTGGAATAAATGGGCTCTGCTCTGGCGCAGTTATGCTTCTGCTCCAATTGAGCTTTAGCCCCCTGCTTTAACCTTTTCCTCATCTTGTTTCTCAATCCTTCATGACACCCTACCTTCAAACCCTGAATTTCTCACAGACCTGCCTGTAATATTTAGGAACAAGGCAGTTCTCAACACACAAATGTGGTCCTGGATGTGGACCATGAAAGGGCACAGGAAGACTTATCTGTGGGGCTCCAACTAGAATCTGGGATGTATAAAGTCTGGGGATGAACAGATGCTGATCACATTTAAGCACAATTTTGCTAAGAATCAGGTGGCTGGATCATGCGCTCCAGGATCAGGAAGTGGTCTGGGGTAAGTAAGAGCTAAGTGTTCTCTTCTCTGTCAGGCGTCCCTTTGCCCACAAGTACAGCAAGGTTCAGAATACTGCGTTGTGGATGGCTTCAGTTGGGGCAGGTAACTACTCCCTGCAACTTTATTCTGAGGGGAGAGAGAGTACAAGCCTGCCCACTAGTCAGGGGCCAGTTTCCAGATTTTTTAGTCTTTCTTAGGGTGAAGAGGTTCTCTTATACACCACATATGGGGGGGTGGGTACACAAAGCTCTTGGTCTGGTAAGGGGTTGGCAATAGGCTTCAGTCATTGAAGGTGTTCACCCTGTTTCTCTAGATTAGAAGGGCTTCTTTTCTTATGTTTTACCCTCTCTTCCCATATGGCTATGGAGACATTTGATCATAATCTAAACAGCACTTGCAGGTCAGCCCACAGGATGGTGCCAGGTTCTTGAATGGAATTGAGGTGGAAGGTCCAATGTTTCCTCTGAATTGATAGATCTGTGTACTTTCCTGTGATGTGTGTTACCTTTGTGCTAGTTTCTTTATTCTTTTGCAGGTGCCAGGTGCTGGGGTCCAAGGTGGGAATAAAGAATTTGAAGTATTGGAGAAGAGTTCCTCTTGCCTTCTCCTCCCCAGGGCAGGAGAAACCTCCAGAGCCTTACTGAATTCAGATGATCGACTTCTTAACTTTTCCAAGTAGAGATTCAGTGATCCAGAAACTTCTGCCATCTTATTATTGCAATTTGTCTCATCTCCCTCCTCTCTTGG